TTTTCCAAACGTTGTGTGTGACTAAGATAGTGTCAAAGGTTTGGATAGTGAAGAAATTGCTAATTGTGTTCAAGAAAATTTTCTTTAACATTAAATATTCCTGGTGGAGACAAGGGGGAAAAAATAACCTTTTTCTTCAGTTAAAAACCGAAAGAAATGCGGATGCTGTAAACCAGGAACCAAAACAAAGTTGCTGGAAAAGCTCAGCAGGTCTGGCATCATCTGAAGGAGAAAACAGTTAACGTTTCGGGTCTGGTGACCTTTCCTCAGAACTGATGGTAGCTGGGCAAACTTCAGTTTATATGCAGAAAGTAGGGAGGTGGGTAGGCTTGGGAGTAAATGATAGGATACAGTCCAAAGAGAGAAAGACAGTTGGACAGACAAAGGAGTTGCTAACGATCAGGCTGGGAGGGTGAATAGTTATTAATGGGGACTGTTAGTGACTAACAACAACCTTTTCTTCAGTAATTGGGCAGGGCGAGTGATTGATGTGACAGTGCGGGAACACTTTGGGTCTATGCTTGTAATTCTATTAGTTTTAAACTAGTTATTGAATAAGGTAATCCTTCAATGAAAGTTCAAGTTTTTAATTGAAGTGAGGCAAATATTAATGGTATGAGACGAGTGCTTTCAAAAGCCATGTAATAGAAGCCCTGAAGTGTGGAAACAGGCCATTCAGCCCAACAAGTCCACACCACCCCCTGAAGAGCATCCCACCCAAGGCACATTCTTCTATCTAACCCACATATCCCAGCAGCACTATGGGCAATTTAGTATGGCAATCCACCTACCCTGCATGTCTTTGGACTGTGTGAGAAAACCTGCACACCCAGAGGAAACCCATGCTGACATGGGGAGAACACACCAACTCCACACACAGTCACCCGAGGCTGGAATCAAACCTGGGTTGCTGGTGCTGTGAGGAAGCAGTGCTAACCACTGAGCCACTGTACTGCCAGTTTGTAGCAGACTGTTCACAGGTAAGGAGATGTCTGATCAGTGGAAGGCTTTCACAGGTGTCATATGAAAGTTCAGAGTTATTATGTTCCTGTGAGAGTGAAAGATGAGGCTGGGAGGATGAAGGAACAATGGATGAATGAAGATATTGAGGTTCAAGTTGAGAATATAAAAGAAATCCTAGTTGGTACAGACAACTGGGTTCAAATGAGTGTGAAGACCGGAAAAAAAATTACCTTTTTTCGGTAATAGGGCAGGGCTAGTTACTGATGTGTTAGTAAGGGAACTCTACAGAGTGTCGGGGCATTCTGAAGAGATCAGGACGGCAGAGAGGATTCAAGATCGCTTTGGCAATAAAGTTCAGGATAATCCAGAGATTCTGCAAGATCAGTAAAAGCAAGCAAGTGGCTGGAGAGAGAGTAGTGCCCTTAAAAATCAAATACATAGTCTTTGTATTGAATGTCAGAAGACAGGAGGGATAGGAACTGAACAATTAATTTAAAAAAAAAATGCTGGGGGAGAGAAATAGAAGCTAGAGAACTTGGGAAATAAATATTGATATTTTGAAAACTGGTGACATTACAGAAGAGGAACTGCTGGAGGTCTTAGAAAGTGTAGAGTTGAATAAATCTCCAAGATCTGATATAGTGTATCCGAGGATATTGTAGGAAGCTAAGGAGGAAATTGCAGAACCCCTTGCAGCAATATTTGTATCATCTAATACGACAGTGAGGTGTTGCATGACTGGAGGTTGGCTTATGCGCCTTTCTTTTAAATAAGGGATGTAAGGAGAAGCTTCGGAAGTATAGGCCTGTGAGTCTGAATTATGTGGTGGGTACGTTGTTGGTGATGATTCCAAAAGATAGGATTCATATGTATGGGGTGGGTGGGGGTTTTCAAGGAATGGTTAGGGATAGTCAACATGGTTTTGTGTGAGGGAAATCCTATCTCAAAAGTTGATTGAATTATTTTTGTGTTAGTACCCAAGATGATTGAGAGCAGAGCAGTAGGCATTGTTTACTTGGACTTTAGCAAAGTGTAGGGCTTACCCCTACCTGTCCATACAAAGTGACCTGTACCTCCATACACCAAACATAATAGTACCTTGGAACAGAGCTACCCAAAGTTGTACAAAGGCCCTGTAACTCATCATCTGAGACAGTTTTGATAAGAGATTGCCTAAGAATGGACAAATGACCCCAGTCCCATTACTGCCAGGATGTTGCTCCACGAAAGATATAGCACCAGGGGTCTAAATCTTAGCTTAGATTAACTCCCTAAACAGCTGCAAAAAAGAACAACAGCTAAATATACTTTGCAGTAATTAGCTTTTTAAAACTATAGTATTAAGACAAATGTTCTATTTAAAGAAATATTCCGATATTCACAGAAGTAGGTTTCAACATATAACCAGAAGATAATATAAGCAGTAGGGGAAAAATCATTTAAACCCAGAAGTGAAAGTTTAGCTTTAGGACATGCCTTATCTCACACCCTGAACATGATAGATTGGTCCAAGTCATGAGTTACAAAGTGCTGGCAGCAAAAGTAGCTGTAGAACTTTACACTTTATGACTAATCTTATAACAGGAATTAATCATGTAGCTATTACTTAAAAAGTAACTGCCTTATATATACAGGATGGTGGGAAATAGAAAAGGATTGATTAATTTTGAAAAAGGTGACACGCACAATGCCAAGAATAACAAGATTCAAACAGCTCTAAGAGGTTTATTTAAAAAAAAGGTCAAGGACAGACCAGAAGGAGTATAACTAATAACTTACGAAATGTGAATTAATAGGATGCATAGAAATATACCAAGGCCCAGCAATGGCAATGTTGAGTAAACATTGAGTTCATGAGAACCTGGGCCTGTCCCGAGGAATGTCCATGATTGATTAGTTGTCCCATGGGATTGGGTATTTGGATTAGAGAGGAAGGACAGTGACTGCTTTGCACTTGATTATTGTAACAAAGTGTATAAAAATGCTGTACTTCCTTGTAAAATCAGAGTGTGTCATTGACCTCTCTTCCAATCTGAGCTGTAGATTAAGGCAAAAATTGCCTTCTGACATTGAGGCCAGATTGAGGAAGATCCTTTGGCCCTCTGCCTGCTTTAACTGGTTTCTTCTTCAATAAACATCTTCCAGTCGCCTGAATCCGGCCTGCCTCCTGAAGTTTTGGCTCTAGCTGGGGCGGGGTGAGCGTGGTGATGTGCATCGCGGTAATGGGGAGGAGTATGCTCCTACACCAAGTCTTTGACAAGGTTCTGCATGGCAGACTAAATAGTAAGGTTAGATTGCAAGGCATCGGTGAGCCTGCCAATTGGATACAAAACTGGCTTGATGGCAGGAGACAGGGGTGGAAAGTTACTTTTTGGACTGGAGGCCTGTTATTAGCAGTGTTCCATTCCAATTTGTGCTGGGTCCCCTTTTGTTTATCTCTTACAGAAATGATTTAGATGAGCATGTAGAAGGCATGGTGAGTAATTTTGTAGATGTCACCAAAATTATTGGCATAGTGGACAGTGAAGAAGGTTATCTAAGATTACAAAGAGATCCTGATCAATTGAGTCAATGGCCTGAGGAGTGGCAGATGGAGTTATTGAGGTGTTGTATTTTTTGGAAAAAACAGACAGGGGCAGGGCTTGTACAATTACAAGAAGGGCCTTGGGTAGTGTTGTGGAACAGAAACCTGATGGGTCAAGTATATAATTCTTTGAAGTTTGCATCAGATGTAGACAACGTGGTGCCTGGCTTCATTGCTAAGACCTCTTAGAACATAGAACAGTACAGCACAGTACAGGTCCTTCGACCCACAATGGGTCTAAGATCAAACTTCCCTGCATACCCTACATTTTACTGTCCACATGCCTCTAAGAATTGCTTTAATGTCCCTAATGTATCTGAATCTACTCGTACCACCACCACCAGCATATTCCACACACTCACCACTCCCTCTGTAATCTACCTCTGACATCTCCCCATACCTTCCTCCAATCACATTAAAATTATGCCTCCTCGTAATAGTCGTTTCCACGCTGGGGGAAAAAAAGTTACTGGCTATCCACTCTATCCATGCCTCTCATCATCTTGTACACATTTATCAAGTCACATCTCATCCTTCTTTGCTCTGATGAGAAACTTCCTAGCTCTCTCAACCTTTCCTCGTAAGACCTATCCTCCTGTCCAGGCAGCAACCTGGTAAATATCTGCACTCTCTCTAAAGCTTCTACATCCTTCCTATAGTGCGGCGAGCAGAACTGAAAACAATATTCCAAGTGTGGCCTAACGAGGGTTTTATAGAGCTGCAGCTTAACTCCCAACTCTTATTCTCACTTCCCCTACCCATGAAAGCCAACACATCATTCGCCGCCTTAACAACCCTATCAACTTGGGTAGCAACTTTGAGGGATCTATGGACGTGGACCCCAAGATCCCTGTTCCTCCACATGGTCAAGAATTTGACTTTCCAAAATGAATTACTTCACACTTTTCCAGGTTGAATGCCATCTGCCACTTCTTTGCCCAGCTTTGCATCCTGTCAATGTCCTGTTGCAACCTACAACAGCCCTTCACACTATCCACAACTCCAACAACCTCAGTGTCTTTGGCAATCTTGTTAACCCACCCTTCCACTTCCTCATCCAAGTCATTTATAAAGATCACAAAGAGCAGAGGTCCCAGAACAGATCCCTGTGGAGCACCACTGGTCACTGAGCTCCAAGCTGAATACTTTCCATCAATAGAAGACAGAGGGTGGGAGCAGGACAGCCAATTCTGTAGCCAGACAGCCAAATTTCCTTGAATCCCGTGCCTTCTTACTTTCCAAATGAGCCGACCATGGGGAACCTTATCAAATGCCTTGCTAAATTCCATATACACCACATCCTCAAAGAATTTTGAGTATTGGAGTTGGAACAGGATGTTGAGGTTGTACACGACATTATTGAGACTTCTTCTGAAGTACTGTCTCAAGTTCTGGTCACCCTGTTACCAGAAGGACATTATTGAGCTGGAGAGGCTTCAGAAAAGATTTACCAGGATGTTGCTGGAAATAAAGGGTTTGAGTTATAAGGACAGGCCGAATAGGCTGGGAATTTCTTTTCCCCCTGGAGTATAAGAGCTTGAGGGGTGAACTTATAGAAGTTTTAAAATCTTGAGGGGTGTAGGTAAGCTGAATGGATAGGTATCTTTTTCTCATAGGGTGGGGGAACTTTTTGACTAGGGGGCCATATTTTTAAGTTAAGAGAAGGAAGATTTAAAAACGATTTATTTTAAGTGTGGTTTGTGTGTCGAATGAACGTGCAAAGGAACTGACGGATATGGATACAGTCACAATGTTTCAAAGACATCTGGACAAGTACATGATTAGGGAAGGTTTGGAGGGTTATGGGCCAAGATCAGGCAGGTGAGGCTAGTTTAGTTTGAGATTATGGTCGGCATGGACTGGTTGGTCCGAAGGGTCTGTTTCTGTGCTGCTTGACTGAGTTGCAGTCAGGCAGTTGTTCTGGTTTTATCTTGGTTTATTTTGAAAGCTTCTAATAGACAGCAGAAAGCCTTGCTGACAGCATTCTGCAAACGGACAAAACCCCTCGGTGTTTTGAAAGTTAAGAAGTAAGGGTAAAACGTACATATTCGTGGGATTTAAAGATTGGACACTTCTTTTGTTTGCCAGGGGTCAAACTCAGGTCACATCCCAACGGGGCTTGTAGCTCTCTGACTGATCGAGTATTAAAGAGCAAATTGAACCAAAGAAGTGGCTGAAAATGACTGTGGCCCCCTCTCGACGGACATGAAAGAGGAGTCTGTTCACGAAAGTACTCGAGAATAAAGCGTCGAGGTGAAGTTGAGCGTGACCACTCATCATTAAAACTGAATGTACTTGCTACATTGGGTATTCCAAAATGCCATCAAAGGAAATATGAAACCGGTGAGACAGAGAGATACATTCATAGGACGATGATTAAAGTCAGAGGCAGTTACAGAGCAGGAACAAATAATGCAATCCGAACGCTATTACAATTGCGATTTACTATAAATTCATGATAAACGTCTCAGTCTCCATGGGCTTCCGTTCTTGACGTGAACGTGACCGACTGGAGGCTGTTCGTAAAGATTTCATGTTCGATCATACACGCAGTGACAGTAAGAGTATCCAATAACAACGGGACTGAAACTGACATCAAACAATTAAAGCAAACAAGTCATTCCGACAGTGGGGAGGGACGAGTTTCTTTCACAGATGCTGTGGGTGGCTCTTAAAAGAGCCTTTGGGTTGTCAGATGAAATAACGGTCTCTTCACTTTTTAGTGGCGCCCCCAGCGGCGGTTTTCTTGGGTAGCAGCACGGCTTGGATATTAGGCAGCACCCCGCCCTGAGCGATGGTCACCCCTCCCAGCAGCTTGTTGAGCTCCTCGTCGTTGCGCACAGCCAGCTGGAGGTGCCTGGGGATGATGCGGGTCTTCTTGTTGTCCCGGGCCGCGTTACCAGCCAGCTCGAGGATTTCAGCCGTCAGATACTCGAGCACCGCAGCCAGATAGACCGGCGCTCCGGCACCCACACGCTCAGCATAATTACCCTTTCTCAGGAGCCTGTGAACACGGCCCACCGGGAACTGCAGGCTCGCCCGGGACGACTGGGACTTCGCCTTGGAGCGAGCTTTCCCACCAGCGCCCTTTCCTCTCCCAGACATGGCCACAATCTCTCAATCACGATGCACTGTCCACATTCCGCCCTCTTATAGTTTCGGGAGCAATGGTGGTGCGGCCATTGCTGATTGGCAACATTGTTCAGCATCTCCTAATATAGTTTCAATTCCCAATCAGATATCTGCTTCACTCACCAATCCGGAGAGGAGGCGGAAAATACCGGCGCCAAGCCATCAACCGCTTTCTTTCAAACTCCAAAAACCAGCCATTATGTACAAACCAGGAAGAAGTCTAACAAAAAAAAATGCATACATATTTGATTTAATTTACTATTAGATTACACCGACATACTTCACACAATCGCTCTCTCTCGTTCCCTAGCCTTCTTAAATCTGACTCTTTGTGACCATGAAAGGATTGTTTCCCCGAACCTTAAGAATAAACGGAAGCAAAAGAAAAAATCCTGACGAAATCTGTTCGCTGCACAGATTCTATTTCACATCAGCACCCAGATATATTGAGAAAAGGATGACACAACTACTTTTTTTTTTGTCCAGGTGAGCGCATTAATGCTTTGAACAATATTTTAAAATCGCCCTCCCTATTGCACTAGATTAGACTTCAACAAGAGATCTATATTTACTATGCCAATCCGGCAGCTGTTCTAGTTTCATTTCGGTTCACTTTGAAATTCTCCACCCGACAGCAGAAAGCCTCATTTGTAGCTTTCTGCAAAACCGGAGAGAACACGCGGGGAGATTTGAAAATAAAACAAAATTCCTCACTGTGGAAACCGTTGAAAAATACCGGCGCCAAATCATCAACCGTTTTCTTTCAGATTTGAAAAGCCCGCCAATGTGGACAAAACGAAGAAGACGTTTTACAAAGAATAGTGCATAAATACTTACGATTTCGTTTCCTTTTAGATTACAAATGGAAACTTCACTCCATCTCTCTATCTCACTCCATGACCTAATTGAATCCATCCATTTCTGATGAAGGGTCTAGGCCCGAAACGTCAGCCTCTCTGCTCCTATGATGCTGCTTGGCCTGCTGTGTTCATCCAGCCCTGCACCTTGTTGTCTCTGATTTGAATGGAGTTTTCCGAATCTTAAGAACAGGCTGAAACAAAATAAAACAAAGCGCCAGTCCGCAGGCTGCATCTTCTGTTTTTGCATTTCACATTTTAAACGCTCCCCAATATGTTGATAAGCCATCAGGCAACGTTCATCCGGCTGAGCGCATAAATAGGCATCACTGTCTTCAGGCAATTTTCTAAAGTGGCCCTTACTTATTGTGATAGATCAGACTTTCCGGTTGATCTCGGTTCATTTTGAAAGCCTATCAGCGACAGCAGAAAGCCCCACATACTGCATTTTGAAAAAAAAAAAATCACAAATCCCGCGGAAAGATTTGGAAATTGAAATAAAACTGATATCGCAAGATATTTCTATTCGTGGAACTCAAATACGGGGTCACCTTTTTTCGTTGCCTCAGGTGGAATTCAGGGTTCAGAACAGACCGCGATTTGTTTGAAAAACCGTGCAACATGGACAAAAGAGGAAGAAGAATGAACAATTTAACTTTTCTTTTATAAGTTAAATTACATTGACATTACAAATGGATACTTTACACAAATTTTTCTTTATCGCATTCTCTAGTCTACTTGAATCTGTCCATTTCTGCATCTGAATAGAATTTTCTGAAGTTAGGAACAAGCGGAAAGAGAAAGAACAATACAAAAGCACTGCATACTGCACTTTTTTTTGTTTTAATTTTACTTTTGAAGTGCACACCGAGTATTGATCAAACCTGACACAATGTTCTTCCGGGTGAGCGCGTTCAAACTTTAAACAACAGTTTGAAGTTGCCGTCGCCTGTTGTCCTTGATCAGACTTCAGGCACAATTTCACACTTGCTATCGCAATTCAGCAGCTGCTCTGGCTTCATCTCGGTTCATCCTGAAATTAAAAGAAAAACAAGTAGATTGTAAACTCTATTCATGGGATTCGGAAGTTAATTTTATTTTCCAGCGTGATCAAGTGTTAAAGAGTAACTTGAGAAAATGGAAGTTGCTGAGAAATGACTCAGTGGCGATAATTATGCTCTCTGTAGATGCAGGGAAAAGAGACAGGGTATGGCCGCAACCGAAAATAAAGGGCAGAAGATCAGGGACCAAACATTAACTTCTAAAACATTTATATATAAAAAAAGCCTGGGGACATTAATAGTACAAACCCAGAATCATTTGCAAAATAAGTTGGTTCAGCTGTTTCAGGGAAGTTGTGGGTGGCTCTGAAAAGAGCAATTGGGTTTTAGAGGAGTTTTTCTCAGCACAATTTGGTGTCTCACTTGGAGCTGGTGTACTTGGTCACCGCCTTTGTACCCTCCGACACGGCGTGCTTGGCCAACTCCCCTGGCAGCAGCAGCCGCACGGCGGTCTGGATCTCCCGGGAGCTGATGGTGCTGCGCTTGTTATAATGGGCCAGGCGGGAAGCCTCCCCCGCGATACGCTCGAAAATATCGTTGACGAACGAGTTCATGATGCTCATGGCCTTGAAGGAGATGCCGGTGTCGGGGTGAACCTGCTTCATCACTTTGTAGATGTAGGTGGAGTAACTTTCTTTCCTGGATCGTTTCCTTTTCTTGCTGCCTTTACCCGGCGCCTTCTTGATAATTTTCTTCGCGCCCTTCTTGGAGATTGGCTGCGTTTTCTTCTCATCGGCCATAGCGATGGTCACTTTCAGACACAGAATGAAAGAAAAAAGGCTCGGAGCTCGATTTTTAATAGCCTGACGTCGTCAACAATGCTAATTAAGGATGGGGGAAATCCTTGTTCCTGATTGGGTAGTTTACAATAGTGTCAAACCATGACATCAGCCTCGCTGTGATTGGTTAGTGTGGGACACAATGGGGATCTGTCAGGATTTGCAATGAAATGCGAAACACAAACCAAATTTTGTACACGGATCAAACTCCTGGCTCACTCTAAAATGAACTGGTTATTGTCATTTAATGATATTTTGAACACAGTACCTGTGAGATTTTAATTGTGGCAATGTGTTTTATTCTGCTCATGACAATCTTTTGTGTGTAACATATTATTTTGTTTCATCACTCTCTGTGATTTCCGCATTACACTGTTAATAGTATTGTGTTGTTAAGAGATTCAGGTTTATTGAGGGATAATTTGTCGAATATCTGTCAGTCTCTGCTATGTGAAAATGCGAGTGCAGTTATCTATCGGTCCCTGTCTGTTTATGCAGTGTGAATGATTATTACTCTCTCACAATCTGTTCCTGTCATACAGTCATAGAGATGTATAGCACTCTTGGGTCCACCTCGGCCATGACAACCAGATATCGTAAATTAATCTAGTCCTATTTGCCATTATTTGGCCCATTTCACTCTAAACCCTTCCTAATCCTGTACCCATCCAGAAGCCTTTTAAATATTGTAATTGTCCCATCCTCCACCACATCTTTCGGCAGTTCAATCCCGTTACGCACCACTCGCTGCGAGCAAACGTTGCTCACCTTAGGTTACTTTTAAACCTTTCACCTCTCACCTTAAACCCATGCCCTCTAGTTTTGGATCCCTCTACTCTGAGCAAAAGAACTTGATTATTCACCCTATCCATGCCCCTCATAATTTTATAATCTTCTAGGAGGTCACCACTCAGCCTCCAACACTCCGTGGAAAATAAGCCCCAATAAGCCCTGTCTATTCAGTCTCTCCCAAAAGGCCAAGCCTCCAACCGTGGCAACAACATTTTAAACATGTTTCTGAACCCTTTCAAGTTTAAAAACACGTTCCCTATTTTAAGGGGACACCAGAACTGAATGCAGTTTTTCAAAAGTAGCCTAACCAATGTTCTGTACAGTCGCAACTTGACCTCCCAATCTGTACATTCAATGCACTGACCAATAAAGGCAAGTGTATTAAACGCCTTCTTTGCTTACCTGTCTATCTGTGATTCCATTTCAAGGAGCTATGAACCTGCACTCGAAGACCCTTCGGTTTGGCTTCCCTGGAGCTTGCAAGTCCTGCCCTGATTTTCCCTTATAAAATGTAGCACTTCATGCTTATCAAGATTAAACTCCATCTGACACTCCCCAGCCCATTGGTCCTTTTGATCAAGGTCCCAATGTAGTCTGAGGTCATACAGTCATACAGTGATACAGCATGGAGAAAGGCCCTTCAGTTCAAACTGGTTCATGCTGACCATGGTGCCGATTCAGCTAGTTCCAATTTCCTGAATTTGGTCCATATCCCTCTAAATCCTTGCTATTCAAATGTTTTTTTTTCAATGCTGCTATTGTGCCTGCCTCAACCACTTTCTCTGGCCGCCTATTCCACAAATGCACCACTCTCTCATGTCCTTCTTAAATCTTTGCCCTCTCACCTTAAACCTTTGCCCTCTAGTTTTCAATTCCCCATCCTTGGGGAAAAATACACTGTATGCATTCTTCCTACCTGTGCCCATTATGATTTTACACACCTTAATAAGGTCATAACTCATTCTCCTATGTTCCAAGGAATAAAGTACTCTCCTGGCCAACCTCTCCCTATAACTGAGGCCTCCTTGTCCCAGCAACATCCTTGTAAATCTTCTTTGCACACTTTCCAGTTTAACAATGTCTTTCCTATAACAGGATGACCAAAACTGTACACAATCCTCCAAATGTGGCCTTACCAGCAACTTCTACAACTGTAACATAACATCCCAACTCTTATACTCAATTTTCCAACCAACGAAGGCCAGCATACTAAATGCTTTCTTCACCACCCTGTCCACTTATGATGTCACTTTCAATGAGCCATGTACTTGTATTCCAAGGTGCCTCTGTTCCACAACACTCCTCAGGACCTTAACATTTACTGTGCAAGTCCTACCTTGGTTTGACTTTCCAAAGTGCAAAACCTCACACTTATCTGTATTGAATTGCAATTGCCAATCCTCAGCCCACTTCCCCATCTGATCAAGATCCCTCTGTTATTTTTTGATAACCTTCCTCACTATCAACAACACCTCCTAATATTGTATCATTGGGAAACTTACTAATCATACCTTGTACATTCACAACCAGATCATTTATTTAAATAACACATAACTAAGGTCACAGCACCGACCCCTGTGGCACACCACTCTTCACAGGCCTCCAATCCAAGAAACAACCTTCAACCATCACCCTCTGCTTCCTGCCATCAAGCAAATTTTGAATCCAATTAGCTAACTCTCCCTGGATCCCATGCAACCGAACCTTCCTTACTGGCCTGCCATGCAGGACTTAGTCAAAGGCCTTACTAAAGTCCATACAGACAACATTCACTGATCTATCTGCTTGGTTACCTCTTTGAAAAACTCTAAAAGATTTGTCAGGCATGACTTCCAACTCACTATTCCTTGCAGACTATCCCTAATCAGACATTGACTATCCAAATGTTGGTTGATCCTGTCCCTCAGTATCCTCTCCAATAACTTGCGTACCACTGATGTCAGGCTCGCTGGCCTATAGTTCCCTGGCTTGTCTTTGCTCCCTTTCTTAAACAATGGAACAACGTTAGCCACCCTCCAGTCTTCCAGAACTTCACCAGTGGCTAAAAATGAAGCAAAAATCTCTGCAAGGGTCTCTGCAATTTCTTCCCTAGCCTCCCATATCATTCAAGGATGGACTTGATCAAGCCTCGGGAATTCATCCACCTTAATATGATCTAAGGCTGCAAACATCTCTCTGGTAATATGTATGCGGTCCAACAGATCTCCACTTGTTTCCTTATTTCCTTAGCATCCATGGTTCTCTCCTTAGCAAACACTGAGGAGAAATATTCATTAAAAATCCACCACCCCACCCCCATCTCCTGTGGCTCCACACATAGACCACCATGTTGACCTTTAAGGGGACCTATTCTCTCCCTAGCCACCCTTTTACTCTTAATATAGCTATAGAGCCTCTTGGGATTATCTTTAACCTAATCTGCCAGATCCATCTCATACCCTCTTTCTGACCTTCTGATTTCCCTCTTAAGTGTGCTATTACACTTTCTGTAGCTATCTTGGGATTCACCTGAGTCTGATAGCTTAAACCCAATGTATGCCTTCTTCTTTTTCCTGAGCAGAGTCTCAGTATCCCTCAATATCTCAGGTCACCTTCTTCTGTCATTTCTGCTGTCCGAATGTGTGACGTTATTAGTCTGTACCTTTCAATTTGCGCTATGTGAATGTATGGGTGTAATTCTCAATCTATGCCTGTCAGTTTCTACAAAAGAATGTACGAGTGTTGTGACCAGTCCCTACATGCCCATTCTGTTGTATCAATACGAGTGTGCAGGCATTAATCTGTACCTGCCAATTTCTGCTTCGTCAATATGTCAGTTTAGTTTCTGCTGGGCAGATGTGAGAACCTTGTTATCACACTGTACCTGGGAGATATTGTTCTGTGAATATTTGAGTTCAGTTGTCACACTGTACCTGCCACGTTTTACTTGGTGAATATGAGAGTGTGGTTTTAAATCTGTGACTGTCAGTTTCTCCCTGGGCAGTTTGTTTGTACAATTATCAATCTACCCTGAAAGATTCTGCTGCATGAATGTGTAATTGTAGTTATCATTCTGTCCATATCAGTCTTTGCTACGTGAATATATGAGTGTATTTACTAATTTGTCCCCGTCAGTTTCCTGTCATGTGAAAATGGGAGTTTAGTTATCAATCTGTTCATTTTTGTATGCGCTCTGTGAATGTTTGGCAGCAGTTATCACTCTGTACCTGTCAGGTTATGCTCGATAAATAAATTTTCAGTCTATCCATGACAGTTTCTGTTATAAGAATGTGAGAGTTTAGTTATCACTCTGTTGCTGCCAGGCTCTGCGATGTGAATGCTTTTATCAGTCTTTCCCCGTCAGTTTCTCTGATGTGCGCATGTGAGTGTGGTTATCAATTTGTACCTGCCATTTTCTGGTATGTGAATATGAGAGTTTGGATGTCAATCTGTATCTGTCACCTTCTGATAACTGCACTGAAATATTGACACACCAATCTGTTCCTGACAGTTTCTGATACACAAAGGATGGCAGTGTAGTTATCTATCAGTCACTGTCAGTATTTACTGTGTGAATGCATGAATGTAGTTATCCATCCATACCTGTTAGTTTCAGCTATGAGAGATTATGTGAATACAGTCACCAATCTATGCCTGTCAGTTTTTGCTTTGTTAAAATATGAGTTTAATTATCAATCTATGCCTGTGAGTCCCTGCTCTGTGAATGTATGACTGTCATTATCAGTCTCTATCTCAGTTTTTGCTACGTGAATACGTGAGTTTAGTTATCGATCTGTACCTGCCAGTTTCTGTCATGTAAATGTGTGACTGTTGTCATCAATGTGACCCTATCAGTTTTGCAGTTCAACTATGTGACTGTAGTTATTAACCTGCCCCTTTCAGTTTCTGCTGTAAATATGTGAGTGTAGTTATCCATCTATGCCTGTCAGTTCCTGCTATGTAAATATATGACTGTTGTCATCCGTCTTTACCTGTCAGTCTCTGCTACGTGAATGAGAGTTTAATTATCGATCTGTACCTGACAATTTCTATGAGGTTTATGCGGGAGTGTCAGTCAATATGCTGTGAAACTGGGAGTGTTAATGTCAATTTGTACCTGCCAGTTTCTGTATTGTGAATACGAAAGCGCAGTTATCAATCTTTCTCAGACAGTCACTGCTGTGTGAATGTGTGAGTGTATTTACCAATCTGTCCCTGTCAGTTCTGCGCTACAAATATGACCGTGTAGTTGTTAGTCAGTGCCTGTCATTTTCTGTTACGTGAATGTTTGTGTAATTATCATTGTCTCCCTGCCAGTTTCTGCTGTGTGAATGGGGGAGGCAATGGCCTAGTGTGATTATCACTGGAATGTTACTCCAAAGACCCAGATAATGGTCTGGG